CCAGAAAAACTGAGGCATCAGTCACAAAGAATTCAATCAAGTCAGTGAGGGGAAAATGGCAGAAAAGTCAAACAAGAAAAAGGCTCAACACCATATTATTAATCTGAGAGCCTCACTTTGGGTTTTAAGTCAAATATTGAATTAGATTGTGCAACTCTTCTATTTTTATTTTTAAATTTTTTATTTTTAAAAAATCCAAAATTACCTAAATCGTTTGACAAATAGAGTCATACAATTTTAATGACTATAAAAATGTGCAGATCAGTGCCAAATTTTTTGGCAAAGGCTGAATGGCAGACAGTAATCCAAGACGCAGACAACCTTGCTTTTAAACCATCCGTTACACGAGACCAGCAGGCTCCCTTCTACCTATGAGACCAAATAATCCCAAAATGTACCCAAATAATCATAACTCCCCCTACCCCCTAAAACCTACCCTTCACTGTCTACGCCAGCCTCTGGACAGACCTGATGCCTGGGGTTTAGCCATTTCCACCTTCCCACCTGATGTTGGTCTCCCTCCTCCCTCCTCAGGTCCCCTCAGTTCTCCCAGGCCTAACTTGGCGTGTTTCCTTCCTCTGTCACCCCAATTAACCCGGCTCCCCTGCCCTTTCTGGGCCTCGCCATCTGCCGGTTTCCCCTTTCCTCCTCGGGGGTTCCTCCTTGCCCTGGGGTCTGCTCTCGGTCCGCCAAGTTCTCCCAAGGGATCCCTCCCCACCTGCCTCCATTCAGTCAGACTGTGTTCAGTGTCCGTTTCGCGCCCGTAGCGACATCAGGACAGAAGCCCACTAAGTGACCCTCTGCTCCCAGAAACCCTCCTGGCTCCTCCAGACCCTCCGGGGCTCTGGCCCGCAGCTCCCCTCTCCCTCCGGCGGCGGGGGTCGGCAGTGACTCACCGGAGGGCCGCCGGGGTTGGGGGTGGGGCCGGAATACTCTCACTTCCTCGCCGCGCACCTGCCCCGAGGCTGGAGCGCCGCCCGGCCGGGCCTCCGGCGGATGTTTTCCTTGTCCCCATGCGTGCGGTGCGCGCCAGCCGCCCCCTCCGGGCCCTGCGCGCCAGCCACCGAGCCCCGGGGACCCAGCGGGCCTGGTCCTCAACGACTCACCCCCTCCCCATCAAGCACGCATGCGGGCTCGACCCACACCTCTGCGCCGCCCCCCAACTTCTGGGAGAGGACTCCTGGCTCAGCCCAGCCTCTAGCTTTCCAGAAGCCCCTGTATGCCTACCTCATCTTCGTTACAGGCGATGAACCCTCACTTCTGTCCCCGTTTCCGCACACGCACCAATCCCCACTGGGGCTCCCTTCCCCTTCAGCATCACCCCCACCTTCATGCGCCCCAGCTACCCACTCACGTCCGCCCCCTATTGGGCTGGCTCTAGCTTGCAGAAGATGGCCCACAGTCCAGCCTCCTTCCAAGGTGTCCACTGGACCCCCTCTCTGGGAAAGGCGGCAGAGCTACTGGCCACTGACAAGACCTTTGGGTCCTCGTGCTAGACAGGCCTTCGAATCCACCTGCTCCCGCCCAGAGAGCAGGCCCAGGCCGTGCCTCCCACACTGCAGCCGACCTCACAGCACCCTGCTGTGCAACTGTGAGTTTCTTCTTGGCACTCCTCTGAAACGGAAAGGGCATCAGTCCTGACTAGGGCGAACGTGAGGTCCATTCTGCATCTCCATCCACCTTAGCTGTCTCCTTGGAAGAGGACAGGAAGGCAGTATGAGGTGCACTGACACAGTCATTTCTGAACAATGAAGAGATGACAGGTAGGGCGGCCCCCCTTGAAAAGTCAGCCGGAAGTTGTATCTGATGCACTAGGTGGCAGGGAGTGAGTCTTGGAGTAAACGGGACTGAAAACTTAGACAAATCAAATAAACGCCAAAGAAATTGTCCTTATAGGGAATACGTGGAACATGGGTCTTTGAAGTATGGAAAATGAAAGAAATCCAGTTTGACCAGGGCCTTTAGTGCCAAAGAGATGGCTAGCAGGAGAGTGGTGAGAAAGGAGAACTGGAGAGTTCACATGAGCGGAGATGGGAAGAAATGGATCCGAATCCCAGTGAGAAAAAGCAGGAGACTTAAAAGGACACCTTGTCCCATGGTAGAGGTAAGGGTGCAGATCTGGGGGAAGAAGGCTTATTGGGAATAGTTTTTCAAACTAGACATTCAGAAGTCAATACAAGGGTCAAAACCAAAATGCTCCTGGAGGTACCTGTTTTTGAAAGAGGTGGGAAAGGTGACATGGAGCAGGGGTCTCCATCCCCCAGGTCACAGACCAGTACCAGTCTGTGGCCTGTTAGGAAGCGGGAGCACAAAGCAGGACATGGTCCGCGGACGAGTGAGCATTACCGCCTGAGCTCCTCCTCCTGGCAGATCAGCAGGGGCATTAGATTCTCAGAGAAGTGCAAACCCCACTGTGAACTCCACATGCAAGGGATCTAGGCTGCACGCTCCTTATGAGAATCTAATGCCTGATGATCTGAGGTGGAACAGTTTCACCCCAAAATCATCCCCTCGCTGCTATCCCCCTCTATCCACTGCTGGAAAAATTGTTTTCCACAAAACCGGTCCCTGGTACCAAAAAGGTTGGGGACTGCTAAAATGGAGCATGAGTGTGAAAGGGGCAGAGGTCTATGCCAGGAGACAGCCATCCCCAACAGAAGCCCTCAGCTATGCACAAACTGCTTAATGTCATTCAAAGAAAAGGATGTCACCCATTTTGCCTCTGAGCTTTAACCCCAATTACAGCAACTGCTATTTCCTGATGCTTACGTACCAGAGATGGTGATAAGAGCACTGCATGCATTATCTCATTTAATCCTCATAACAGCCCGATGAGTTGGCATTACTATCCCCAATTTATAGATGAGGAAACAGGCTCAGAGAGGTGAAGTAATCTGACCAGGTTACATAGCTAAGTAGAGTCAGGATCTGAATCCAAGAAGATTGTCTCTGCAGCCTATGCTCTCAATCATGCATCCCGGGCTCCTCCAGAACCTGTGGGAAACTCAGAGGATGCCAAATGATAAATTCCTAAAAACCACACTTATTACATATGGGAGGAAAGAGAGGACACCTCTGTGAACCTGGAGTGATTCATCCTATCAGGGCACATAGCGATGCTCCTTTTTGAAAGGGGGAAAGAACCATCCCCAGAGGTGGGGTGATCCCACATCTGCTGTATGTTTGAGGGTGATAAGCAATGGACAGTTCACCTCTGGAATGCCTGAGGAAAAGAGACTCTCCCCACCATCTCTGAGGGGCAGCCCTATTTCTTGGATACATTAGGGAAACCCTGCCCCAGGATCTGAGAGAAACACAGTCTCCATTCCAGGTGCCTGCTCACTCTCCTGGAGCCTCTGGCCGTCGCACCCTATTGCAGCTCCTGGGTTTGGCTGGGGCACAGGATTAACCATCCCCAGGAAATGCCTCCCTCCGGTCCAGGCAGGGATCCCAGCGTACACACCCCTGGTGGTGGCAGTGGGGGAGAAAGGGGGAAGGTGGAATGCTTCCTTCTCTCCAGGTCAGGGAAGAGATCTGGGGACCACCTGGGGGCCCTCACCCCTCCTGCCTCCTTGCTGGGGAAGTGCCCAGTCCAGTGCCCGCTCCATGGCCACCTCCCTCCCTCTAGCTGTGCCGGGGCATGAATCAGCTCTCACAGCTTGTTAAAGCTAGACCTCTTGTTTTCATGCCCTCACCTCAGGAAACAGAGTTACAGCTTTTCCAGCTCTACTCAGCAGGGGGCCAGGGTCCTCACTTTATAAACATCCCTAGCCTGTGAGAGTAGAGGGCAGGGAGATAGTGTGAGACAGGAGCCCAGGGGAGAAAGAAAGAAACTAAGACTGAAGGAGCAACGCAAAGCAAAGTCAAGGAGTCAAGACCAGAGCAGCTGAGCAGAGGCCAAGAAGGGTCCGAGAGGGCTGTGCAGCAGTAATGGCCCTGAGGATGCTCTGGGCTGGACAGGCCAAGGGGATCCTAGGAGGCTGGGGGATCGTCTGCTTGGTGATGTCTCTACTCCTCCAGCACCCAGGAGTCTACAGCAAGTGCTACTTCCAAGCTCAAGGTAAAGTGGGGTGAGGCATTAGGAATGAAGGAGCAGCAGAGAGGGCACAGGGAGGACGGGGCCTTAGAGATGATCCCATGTCAAAATACCCAGGCTCCCTTCAGCTGTGAAAGAGGAAAGACAAACTAAATACGGATATAGTATGTACTTACCGTCTCCACCCCAGACCTGAAGAGACTCTGCCTCTCATCAGCACTCCTACACCCACTAACATTTTCCGTTCTTCCCTAGCCCCCTGTCACTATGAGGGGAAATATTTCACCCTGGGTGAGTCTTGGCTCCGCAAGGACTGTTTCCATTGCACCTGTCTGCATCCTGTTGGTGTGGGCTGCTGTGACACGTGAGTGACCAAAGATAGCCAGAGAGAATGACTCTGATGTGAATGACTGAGGGATGACCAGGGAGGGACTAGATTGCTGTGATGTAAGAATGAACAGAAGAGCAGTACAAGATGGGCCGAACATGAAGGGCCCAACACTAGTGTGAAAGATAAGGCCTCAGGCTATAAATCAGGGGAGGTTGGGGTGTACCTGGAGAGAAAATACTCCTGTTATAAAACAAAAAGGCCCACATATGGTAGGTGAGAGCTTAGGAGGACCAAGGGGCCACTGAAAGGGGCTCTAGTGGGGAAAGCTGTGAGAGAGGGAACATGTGGGCAGGGATAAAGGCAGCCTTTCACTGTGCTGATTCCTTCCCCCATCCTTGGTTTCCCAGGTCCCAGCATCCCATCGACTTTCCAGCTGGGTGTGAGGTACGTCAGGAGGCAGGAACCTGCCAGTTCTCCTTGGTGCAAAAATCTGACCCTCGGCTGCCCTGCAAAGGGGGAGGGCCTGACCCAGAATGGGGCTCAGCCAACACCCCTGTTCCTGGGGCTCCTGCTCCCCACTCCAGCTAAACTCAACTGATCACCCATCTGCTGACTGCTCACTGCTGCTGCCACTTCCAGGGAAACCACTAGCAGCTGCCAATGTATTCTGAATAAATAAATTAATGCTATAGCTGAAAGCCTGACTCTCACTGTCCACGACACTGGACCCCAGGTGGAAAAAGTGGGTCCCACTAGAGTCCAGGTGCTGAGTTCTCAGTATTCGCAAGGAACTAGCGCCAGGGTGGGCCAGTTTCAGATGGTTATGGTGCTGGTGCTAGGGCCTGGGGCAGCATATGAGGCCAGGGTGGGGCTGGTAGGCAGCACCTTGATGGGGAGGTCCCAGCTGAAGGTGTCTACAGGTACTTGCTCAGGACCTGTCCAGGTGGTAGGTTCGGGCTGTTCCACAGGGGGTAGGAGTACCAATCCTGGTTCTCGGGACGTTACAAATTCAAAATGCAATCTCCATTTCAAGGACACTACGGAAGAAAAAGATTAAGGTACAAGCATTAGAAGCCAGCGGGAGTAAAGGCCAATGACAGGATATAGTTAGTGAATGAGAAAAAAACAATCTGTATTCAGGAAGACAGGCAAAAGTCACAGAGCAGGGAGCTGTGATTAAGGGTTTTTCTGAAGCAATTGGGTAGTCCCATAGATGTCAGCTGAAGATAGCAGAATGAAAAGAATACCTAACATAGCAGAATAGAATACCTAACAACCCAAGAGTGAGGCAGTGAAGTCTAGATAGTGTGAAGTAATCAAAAATCAGTGTATCACAAGCTCCCAGTAGGTAGGCATGGGGAAGGAGTTCTATCAAGCTGTTAGGAGTTTAGGGGTCAGTGCATCTAAGAAACGGGAAGAGGCTGAAGGTCTGAGAAACTGTTTAAGGTCAGAGGCTAGATGTAGGTATGTCTGGGAGTGTGTATAAGGAATCAGGATCCATTACACCCCCCCTTAGTACAGCATTTTACTGTCCCCCTCTCCCTTCTCCAGTAACAGTGAGGGTCTCACCAATGGCTGTACAGAAGCCTGGGGTGGAGCTGAGAGGGATTGGGAGGGAGAAGCTGGTTCTGGTTGTATGCAGGCAGGATTCCTGGTGCCGGGCGTGAGTCACATGTGACACAGAGGGGACACCCCCTGCCCCACGTCGCCGCTGGTATTCAGGCTGTACACGCTCCTCGGTCTGTAAGCTGACTGAAAACTGGGAGCAAGAGATGTGTGCTAACAGGAAGTGCTGTCTGTAGGTGAGAGGACAGCCCAACCTCAAGCTGTTTTACAAAGGGACCCTGGATGACCCCACTATCCCCTTCTACATGCCACCCCTCTTTCTACAGGCCTTCCACCCTAGCCCTTCAACTCCAGCACCCAGCAGATAAGAAGCTCTGCTCCCTTCTTACCTGCAAACAAGCTACAGTTCCTTCCCCTAAGTTTAAGGTCCCCACCACGTCCTCGCCAAGTCTGTACACAGATTTGAAGATGCCAAACGTCCCAACTTTCCCTCGGCCATCACTGATATTGTATAGATCTGGGGAGAATAGGACACTATAAGCCTGGAGTCTACACACTGGGGAACGTCTAGGACTGGGCACCACAGGCCAAAAGGTGGGGTTTTTCTTTATAATTGGAGGTGTGAGGCATCAGTGGATCCACAGAAGTGTGTGGTGGTTAGGAGGCTGTCTGAGATGGGAATACAATGAGGGGAAGGATGGAGTAGGACAATTCTGAAAGAATTCTCACGGAGGCTGCGGCAGGATGTGGCAGCCATTAGGCGCTCCCCAGCCAGCTCCGCTAGCCATGAATCCTTCTTCCCACCTTCATCCTCCTCCAAGAATGGACTGGATGGGGCTACAGCCTCATCCTGGGGAAACCGGACATCCTGAAGGCCTAGAGAAAGAATGAGTGGAGAGGTAACGCTGAGAGGGAACAGAGATGACAGTAGAGGTTAGGGTTTTAGATTCCAACGTGAGACGGCTGAAGGTAAGGGGCGCCAGGGCTGAGGTGTACATCTCTATCTCCAGAACCCTCCCTTCCTTCCCAACTCCCGAGCACCATCACTGAGACCAGGAACTTTCCCTGCAGCCCCTCTTGCAAGTCCTCTAAGACAATTTCTGCTTTGACATGGTCCTCCCCGCCCTTCCCTCCAGGAGCCCTTGCTTACCAGTCAGCACAAGAACCCTCAGAGGTACTCTGAGTAACGTGATGGGGGAGTTGACACGCTGGCAGCCAATGGTCAGTTTGTAGACGTACTTGACTGACTGACCCCGAAAGGAGGGTGGTCCCTCTATGGGCAGCACTTCACTGTAGGAGTCTGGTTGGGAAGTAGTTGTCAGGGCAGCCAGAGGCACCAGAGGAGTTCTCCCTCCAGGAGGCTTAGAAGGCAATTCAGGGATGGGGACAATCACTCACATGATTTGGACTCTCCAGGATCTAGCCTCAGGTCACAGAATAGAATTTTTGGTGGAGTAGAAAGGATACATTGACCCCTCTCACCTGAAAAAGGTAAAAATGACTAATTTAATGACCCATTGTCCAGTACTGAACAAGACTAGCATGGCAAGTGGAGACAGTGAAAAGCTGCCAGGCCCTCTTTCCCTGCTGTGAAATGAGAATAGTCTTCTACTCCTAAAGAAATAGTCATGCTCCCCAACATTCCCAGCACAACAGGGACTATAAGAACAAGAACAATTAACAACTTCACCCATGGGTGACAATGCCTCCACACACACCCCCCACACCCCACCTCTCCCAGGCAAATGCCCCTCTCTAACCTCGGTGTGGCAGAAAGACGGTCTGGCTGTCCGGCTGGACATCTGGCTGACTAGAGTCAGGGGGAGGCAGTGCTACTCGACTCTCACTGGCATGGAACTGGCAGTGGATTTGAGCACTGGCCCAGGCCAGGGCCTCACTGTGGGAAGAGGAAAAGGAGGTAATCGAGGTAGTTCCCGACCTCACAAATGCTTTTCCAAGCTCCCTATCGCACTGTCTTAACCAACAAGGTTAGATGACTGTCCTAGTGATCAGGAAATCCAGAACTCCAAAGAGAAACCATAAAATAAAGAGTAGCAAACTGTGGGTAAAACGGGGAAAGGGGGAGGGGAAGGAAAGCGCACAGCTATGTCATCCACATCTTCTGTTAAAGAGCCCTCTCCTACAATGAGAGCACAATGAGCAAAAGGAGGTAGTGTCGCTACAGGACAACCTGAGCTCTGCCTCAGCCCCAGAGATAATCTGGCTTCTTCCCAGAAGGGCCACCACCTTCAGTGCCAGCATCCCCACCTGGATGCAGAAGTGGCCGTGGGGGGAAGGGGGTTGGTGACGGTCACTACACACTCCAGCGCCTCCCCAGCCAAAAATACAGGACCCCGGCTCAGCTCTGCTACCACTTCAATCATGGCAGCTCCGGAATCAGATCTAGAAGGAAACAAGGTGGGGCGGAGGTCAGCACCGTGACAGGGAGGAGCGTTGCGGTGAGCACCTAGGGCTGAGGACAGGGGTGGTCAGCACCGTGGTGCCCGAGGGAGCGCCTGGATATAGGAAGGGTAAGCGGGTGGCAGGGAGGCGGCTGAAGACTCAGTACTGCCCGGGGGAGGACGTCGCTCTGGGCCCTGGACCCCCGCCCCTGTGCGCCGGGTTCTTCTCCCTGGGCACCCCCCACGGAGTTGCCAAACTGGCCTCCGCTCCTCCTTTCCTCAAAGTTCCACGTCCCAGCCCAAGATCACGGCCGCCCGTCACCTCGCATAGTCGACACTAGGGATCAGGACCCTCAGGCCTCACCTGCCCGCCCCTCTGGGTCCCGGTTAGGTGCGCGGCAGCGGCGGTGGCGACGTCGGCGGCAGCGTCCGCTGGGCGGTAGAGGCGGGACTTCCCTTCGGTCCTCCACCCTCCGCGGAGTCCCTTCCGGCCGGAAGCGCCCGGCCGGCCAGACCGGAAAGGGCTCGGGTTGTCCCGGCGCCCAGGGTCACCTTCCCACGGGCTGGCACCTGGGCGCGGGCGCTGCCCCGGAGCCGGCCTGCGGGACCTGGCGCCCAATCCTGGGGGACCCGGTGCCGTGGCCCAGGGGCCGGGCCGAGGTCCCGGGGGCGGTGCCTTGCGGGCCCGTCCCGGGGCGGTGCCTGGTGGGCTGGCCCCGCGGCTCCTCCCCTCTCTGCGGGCCCAGTCGCCCTTTGGCCGGGCGAGCTAATCATCGCGGCTCAATGACGACGAGGCCCGACCCTTCCCGTCCAGGACCTACAGAGACAACCGAAGGAGAGCCCAAGGCGGCTTCATTGCTGTCGCCGCCGCCACTGAAGCAAGAGCTCCCCGGCTCCACTGAAACACCAGCTCATCTAAGCTTCCCCCAACGCCCGGCCCTCCGGGACGATACCTAACAACCACCGGCGCCCACATTTGGAATAGGCTGGCGAGATACTTAGTATCCGAGGGCTCGGAACTTGGGGCCATCGAGGTCATGGGGACCCAGGATCCAGGAAACATGGGAACTGGCGTCCCAGCCTCGGAGCAGATAAGCTGTGCCAAAGAGGATCCACAGGTTTATTGCCCTGAAGAGACTGTAGGCACCAAGGATATGCAGGTTACAGACTGCAAGAGTCCCGAAGACAACCGACCCCAAAAAGAGACGGGCTGCTGCAATCCGGAGGACTCTGGGCAGCTGATGGCTTCCTATGAGGGTAAAGCTATGGGCTACCAGGTGCCTCCCTTTGGCTGGCGCATCTGTCTGGCTCATGAGTTTACAGAGAAGAGGAAACCCTTTCAAGCTAACAATGTCTCCCTAAGGAACATGATAAAGCATATAGGCATGGGCTTGAGGTGAGTAGACCCCATTGCCTAGAATGCCTTTGGCTTCACTTTGTTCCAGCTCAAAACTAGCAGAGGTGGGAAAGGGCAAGAAAGCAGTTGGGCTTCTTGTCCCAGTGAAGCGGCCCCTATCCCTGGCATATTTTAGGCCTATGGTTTTGGACCATGAGACCAGGTCACATCTCTTTGCAACACCATTCCCTCCCAGTGTTTTGTCTTTTCAGAAGGAAACAGTAGGAACATTTGGTCATGCAGTCAGCCTTTCCCATTCAGGCTCCTTCTCACATACTGGTTTCCAATGACTTCCCTTTGGGATTAGCTATACTTTGTGGCAAGGTAGGAAAGGATAATCTGGCTGCTGTGATACTAACACAATGTTGTTTTATTTGGGGGTGGGGAGTCTCAACCCCTTACTTCCTGCAAGCAGCTGGGGCATTCTCTGTACCTCTTTAGGCACATTGTTAGAGTCCCAACACTACTGCTTCTTTCCTCAAGCTTTAGCTCCAGGGAGTAGGTAAGAGCCTCCCTGTCCTCAACTCTGAAGTGATGAAAAGGTGCTGTCATTCTATTCTGGGAGAGAGAGCTCTTGATATTAAGTCATTTATCAGAGAGGCACTGCCATAGATGTAGAACCTGTCTAGATCCCCACTGAGTTCAAAGACTAGTGATGAGGAGCCAGACCCACTAACAGGAACAGGTGGATGTGAGGACAGAAAGCATCACCCTGAGGTCATCCTGACTCAGTCTACACAATAAACACAGAACTGTGGAGGGAGGCATAAAGCTTGGGAAATCCTGCCCTGACAGCTTCTAGAGTAGGAGACCCTTCATTTCCCCAGTAAGTGCTGTGGGGCTGTGATGGAGAGGTCAGTTATCTAACCCCAGCCCTGGGGAGTGGGAAGGGCCTGATGCTGCCTGCACATCTGGCTTTGCTGGTGCCTGTGGGTGGCCTGCAGCAGAGAAGAATCGTCCCTCCAGGCTGCTTCTGAAATCAATTCAGTCCAAGTTTGACCCCAAAAGCTTTTGGGTCAAAATAGGATCTAGTGTACAGAAAGAAGTACACTGAGTTGCATGTGGTGGGAACAATGAGATCAAGAAAAGATGGGCATCCTAGCCTCTTAGCCCTTAAATATGAACTGAGTCATAGAGGCCTGAAGCTGTGCTCAACCCCCTGGACCCTGGCTCCCCATTCCAGGATAGAGTGGGGGGGACTGATACAAGGTTTTTGGAATAGGATGAGTTCCTGTGAGGAGAAAGCACAGGTGAGACAAGAATTCTAAGTGATAACTCTTGAGTTGAGGTTGAAATTGTGGAGAAGGCCAAATAGGTCAGGAATGGCCAGCTACCATATTAAGGGAGTGAGAGAGCTCCTAAGACGGAGCTGAACTGGGGACACTCTGACCAGGAGCTCCAGCAAGACAGAGTTCTCTGGGCCTTACCTCGGTAAGAATTCAATTTCAATTGTTCTCCCTTCCAGCCAGAGTCCACTCATTCAATAAATATTTATTGAGTGCTTCTTCCGTGCCAGATAGTCCTTTGTTCTGCCTATCCTCATAGATTGCAGTTACTCTCCCTGGTTGCCCTAATCCTCGGCCGCACCCTCCCTCTACCAGTCCTTTCTGGCCTCTAGTTTCAAAGTCCAATTTTCTCTAAGCTGGCAGAGAGGATTCTCTGCCTTCTTGTCATCCCATCCTTTGTCTTCCTTCCCTCTTCTTTCCACCCCTAGAATGTGCTGTCCCTTTTTTTTTTTTGAGACAGTCTTGCTTTTGTCACCCAGGCTGGAGTGCAATGGTGCGATCTCAGCTCACTGCAACCTCTGTCTCTTGGGTTCAAGCTATTCTCCTGCCTCAGCCTCCCAAGTAGCTGGGATTGCAGGTGCCCACCACCACATCCGGCTAATTTTTTTGTATTTTTAGTAGAGACGGGGTTTCAAAATCCCAAAGTGCTGGGATTACAGGTGTGAGCCACTGCACCTGGCCGCTGTCCCTATTCTTTAATCACATTTCTCCTCCTCTGCTCCAGTCTGTCTGTTATCTCTCTTGTGCCCCATCATTTGTATGTTCATTCATTTGTAAATTTGGCAAATATGCATTGACTGCAGACCATATGTCCTGCCCGGTGCTTGGACCTGAGGGTAATATTCAACTAGTCTTTGTCATTGTCCCTTTCCCCAAGGAACTTAAAAATATGTCAGCCTCACATGAGGAACACTGAAATAACAAGGCAATGTCTGATTAGGAATTGAGATAGCAGTTTGTATATATGAGTAATAATCATACCTGTACTTTATGGCTTTCTTATCTATTATGTCATTTGATCTTTCAACCATTTTATTAGGTAGCTAGAGCAGGTGGTATCCTCATTTTGTAGATGAAGAAACTGGGACTTAGGGGTTACTTACCCAATTATTTGGCTAGAAGTAGTGTGACTGAACAGTAGGCATAATGTGGTTAGGTAGGGAGGACAGTGGAAATGGGAAAGAGCCTGGCAAGGCAGGGGCTACTTGGTGAGGACCCATCTGGAATGAGAATTTGTAGGAAATAAGATTAGAAGATAGGCTGGGACAGATGTCAGAGCCTTGAAAACAGAATCATTTGCCTATTGAAAACAGCCTCAATCATTTGCCTCTTGGATACAGGGCTGTAGCAAGCCCAGGAAAATGTTGGGATTTTTTGAAGGCTTTACTGAGAGCAAAATCAGAAAGCTTCACGGTTTAAATGCTGAATAAAAAAAAAAAAAAAGACTTGAGAGGAAATGCCCAGAAATAAATATAAACACTGATTGTCTGTGGGTGAGATGGTTTTTTTCCCCCTTTCACCTTTCACAATTAGAAAGAAAAATGATCATTTTAAAAAGAAGAAAGGGCACAAGCGGTAGCTCACGCCTCTAATCCCAGCACTTTGGGAGACCGAGGCAGGCAGATCACCTGAGGTCAGGAGTTCAAGACCAGCCTGGCTAACATGGTGAAACCCCATCTCTACTAAAAATACAAAAAAAAAAAAAAATATATGCCAGGCATGGTAGTGGACGCCTGTAATCCCAGCTACTTGGGAGGCTGAGGCAGGAGAATTGCTTGAACACAGGAGGCGGAGTTTGCAGTGAGCCAAGACTGCGCGTCACTGCACTCTAGCTTGGACAACAAAGAATGAAACTCTATCTCAAAAAAAAATAAATAATAAAAATAAAAATAAGAAAGTTATCCCCAGCAGTCTATGCCTGTTTTGGAGGTAGGGGATTGGGGGTGGAGGCTGTAGGCCAGGAAACCATAAACGGTCCTTTCAGCACCTCAGACAGAAGCTCCTGATGTTGGAAGTAAAGCAGTGGTGGTGGCACTAGAGAGATAAGGAGAGATCAGAAAGCCCCTTCTGAGGAGAAAAAAGGAGAGAAACAAAGCCACTCCTACACTTTAGCTGGGGTGACTGGGAAGATGAAGGGACCTTGAACTGTATAGAAATCAAGAGGAAGAGAGATTTGAAAGCAGATGTCCTTGGGACATTTAATGGGAGGTCACAGAGAGAGGCAGGTGACAGCCTGTGAACAACTGCCCACCTGCCCCCTTCCACTCACATTGCCTCTTGCTCCTCAGGTACCTGCAGTGGTGGTACCGGAAGACCCAGGTGGAAAAGAAGACACCTTTCATCGACATGATCAATTCTGTACCCCTAAGACAGATTTATGGTGAGCCTCACCCCATCTGTGCTCTGCTCAGAAAAGGCCCAGCCTCCAGGTCTACCACAGTTAGGCAGAGGCTTCCAGTTTATGCAAATTGCACTGTTCCATTCCCTAGGTTTTCAGAAGAACCAGGCTTTATAGTCCAGAAAGTTAGAAATATGCTTATTTTCCTCTCCCAATACCCCACTAACCATCCTGATTTCTCTAGGTTGTCCCTTGGGTGGCATCGGGGGAGGCACTATTACCCGTGGCTGGAGAGGCCAGTTCTGTCGTTGGCAGCTTAACCCTGGAATGTATCAGCACCAGACAGTCATCGCTGACCAAGTAAGAGCCAGCAGGTGGAGAGGCCAGGACAGTACCTCCCCAGGCCAAGAAGGAAGGACCTCTTGGCTAGTGTAGGA